ATTTATTTTGGTATAAGATGTAAAGTCTAATAGATAAAAGTAAGTTAACATTTGAATTTATTTTTTTTTGACTTTGTGTCCAAACTATGATGCATCATTAATTACTCGATTTCAATTGTAACAGTCATGCTGATTGCGACCTCTTTATATAAAATATAAATGGTCTGTATATATTTTTATCTACTTTTCTGACAAATTACATTTCCATCTACTTATTATCATTTGAAATGCAATATTCTATCTTTTAAAGCATCATGAATTTGAGGAGGGGTGTTATGTAAAGTGAATATCGTGTATGGTGGAAGGAGATTATTTGAATGTAATTAAAATGATGCAACAAGAGGATTCTATGAGAACTTAGAAGCTTTTGGTTACAAATTATATCGCTCACTGAGAATTTGATGATTTCGTTTCAGCATGTTTATAAGAAACCGAATGTGGAGGCTGATACGCTTACCAAGATTGGAGGTTCTTTACCCTATTTCATGGTTACTGAAAATGTAATAATCTCTATGTAATTCCTTTTGATCAATAAAATGTCTGATAATCGTCAAAACAAAACAAAAAAATCGTGGATATACTTGTCAAGGGAAAGCATATTTCATTAACGACGTATATAAAAGAAAGGTATATGTAGTATCTGGTATTTATGGTAAGATTGGATGTATTCAAAGTTATTATGAATATATAGAGAGTTCTCTTCAACGATGCTTGAGACTTCATCAATTACATCTCGGACCACCATTGGTGTATTTACTATCGTGAACCACCAGGATATTCACCGTTCATTGGGATCACGATTGGCATGATTAATTGTAGGGACGAAACCGGAGAAGCTAGAAACAAGAATACAAGTTACTTAAAAAAGTAAAAGAGCGTACAAGCTTATAAGCAGTGAAAAGCAGAAAGGAACCAAAACCCCAAAAAATGGTGACTTCCAAAGAAAAGGAGTCACAGTACACAAGCTCAAGGTAAGATGCAAGAGATGAAAAATAAAAATTGAGTGGGATAAATAAATATTACCTAATCCAACAGGCTTTGGCATGGAGCAAACACAAAGAATCGTAGAATAGAAAAATGGTAATATCTCTCTCTCTCTCTCTCTCTCTCTCTCTCATAGCAGTGGAGATTCTGGTTAGAGGATTGGGCTTAGGAACTCCAGCTTCCAGTCATTCTTACTATTGGAGGTTTAAACCCCATCATCATAGCCTTTTTCTAACTATTTGGTCAGCTACTTATTCTATTTTACTTATATTGTTTTTTTCTTCATAGATCTTCGAAAGCTAGCTACCAGATTTATTGACTAGACTTTGAGGGCATGGGTGAAATCCGTATATCCCCATTAATTGATCAATTTTCCTGCTGATTTTCTTTCTTTGATTCAAAATTATCTATAGTTTGTTTAATCTTTTAGTTGACATTCTTTTTTAAAAATTTTAAGCCAAAAAGATATTCACTATCGAGATTTTTAACATACCATCTTATTAGTCGTTTTGAGCATTGTTTGGTACTAGGACATTCGCGGCTAAGTGTTTTAAGATTTTCTTTTATCCATCTTGTTCTTTGCATTATTTTACAATATTTTGATTTTAACTTAATGAAAAGACTTTGGGGACTGGGGTAAAATCTGTCAACCACAAAATACCCACAAAGACCAATTCCAACAAGGGGAGTTTTGTTTACAAAAGTATGTCACACTTGAATAGTGGAGTGCAAAAATGGTGTACAAAAAAACAGTCTATTTAATATGTCTATATGAATGTGTAGATATTGGTGTTTGCATGTGTGCCTGCATGGGTGATATGTACTACACACGCACAAACACACATACAGAGAAGAGAGGACAAGCAAAAGAGAGAAAAAAGAACTTTTGCAAGGAGATTTGGCTAAAAAACTAAGTAATTAATACCTTTAGGCCTAAAAATAAAAAAGAATATCAAATAAAAAGTTAGACAAAGAGTATAAAGTCAGGCAAAACAATACAAAGAATATGAAAATGACACTTGAAACAATTAAGTTATGAACTATCATTTAGGATTACAAAATTAAATAAATACCAATCAGACCAACAAAATTATGTATCGTTTCGAATTAAACAACCAAAAGCGGAAATAAAATTGAATACTAAATTGGGACATATAGTTTTCACCCCCGACCCCAAATGCTAGACATTGAATCAAGACCTAGTTATTAAAGATAAAACCAAGAACCAAGACAGATCAATGACACATGAAAAATGTAATCATGGGTACTCTTTGGCTTAAAAAAAAAAACACAAATCCATAAAGTCGGCAAAATTTTAAAGAATTTTAAATGAAACAGAGTTAAGTTCAAAAGAAAATTGACAAATATCAGTGGGTCGGAAACTAAAATATTGCCAATTAATGCAAAGTACGAAGATGGAATCAAGCTATCTCTAGTGCTCAGTAAAAGACTCACAAAACAAAGAAAAGAAGTCAATAAATGTTCTATGTGAACTACGTATCATTAGCTTTTTAAAAATTTCTGGCTTTTTGACAACAAAGATATTTATCAAATATGAGTATGTCTAATGAAGTACCTGGAATGAAATCCGATTGATGAGATCACTTGCAGACAAATCAAGGCAAGGATCATCCGTTTTATGTCCAAAAAGATCAGTATTGGATATGGATGTCGAGCTCTACACAAAGCATCGACCAATTTCTAAACACAAGACGAAAGAAAACATAAAATTACAGAGAAACTTTGATTCGAAGGTGGAGAAAAAAAAATATAACCTGATGCTATCTACAAGATGCAACATTTGAATGCTGCTTGAAAAAGGCGGAAAACAAGCCGAAACATTCAAATGGACATATTTTGTAAGGTTATTGTACCCGTTGAGTTAATATAAAAAAAAAATCTGAAATTTTGAAAAACACAAAAGAATTAATACATGATTTCTCTCAAAAAAAAAACTTGAAAATTTCTGTCGAACTTTAGTAAGGTGTGATAAAGATTTTTTTTAGTCTTATGGATTGAAGGGGTTACATCCCCAATATTTGGGGTCCTAAAACTAATTCTAGGTAGGGTTGTACCTAAGGGAGTAAATAGACATTCTACTCCCACGGGAATAGAATATCCAACATCCTTTTTATTTATGGAAAAAACTAATATAAGGCCTTTATTAAAAAAGAAAAACAATCAAAACTCTAAAAAGAAGATGCAGTTCCAATACCAAAAACCCTAAAATTGCTTATTTCGACCTCGGTTTATGTATACGAAAAAAGTGAATTCAAGCCCTAAAAATAGTAAATATCCTGCACCCTATTATTTGGAGTTTATAGGCGTTCATAAATCTAGCAAATCCAAAGACGGAACTTTTCATACCACCAAAGGGGGGACATTGCTCACCAATTCTATTGGCGAGGCTTTGAGGTGTAATTTTACTTTTTTTTTTTTTATTGTAAAAACTTAGGCCCCATGCAAAACCGCCATTTACGTGTACAATTGTCATAGCAAGCACAGGGCTTGGATAACATGGCATGCTCATCATCAAAGAAGAACAAATACCAAATATGACCACGTACTGGACGGCAAGTGTGACCACCAAACTTTACCTTAGTTCAATTGAACTCCACATGTTCCTCGATCACTGTTCAACGATTGATCAGACGGTGATGACCCTCGTGACCAATACGTTGCCATAATCATATGGATTTATAGTTTACCCTATTCAGTGCATTTTCCCCTTTACAATTATCGAGGGCACGAATGAAATTTTTTCTCAAAAAGTATCGTCACGTAAAAAGAATTCCTTGCATCATTTGGCATGGCAGCTAATTAGTGTGAAAATATTCCTCCAAACCGCATGAGATGAGGCATGTATTTTCATGCCGTACCCTAGAATTGCCATATGAAGACTTGTAATCAGAGTGGTAGTTACATATTTCTAAAAGTTTGGTAAGGGTCAATTCCAGTCCTCATCCCTTTTTGGCATTATGCTTTTGGCAAGTAATTGTGAAAAAGACAAACTCAATATTCCATTAGTGGATGGAAAATGAATACGTTTCATTACCTTCTCCACAACAATGAAGACCATGGCATCCATTTAGAAATGTAAATTGGAGTGAGAAAATAAGAAGTTGAATAAAATTTGGTATAAAAATATATACATAAAAATATATATAATGAGAAACTATTTATTTTTTATACAAAACAGCCACAATCATTATTGACCATTAAATGTGAAATCATAAGGTTGTAGATATGTCATTAATTAGGTACAAAGTCAAAAATAAATTTTTTTTGAAAATTGTGATGCATTCCCATATGCGGATTGCACATCCAATGGCTCTTGACTAAATGGCTCTTGACTAATTGTGACCTTGTACATAAAGTGAATAGTCTTATAGTATAAATCCCTATTCACATAAAAAAAGTCTATACACTATCAAATTCTTGTATCCAAATAGCAGGTCAAATCTCCACCATAAAAGCCACTCAGATAATGGTGATACATCTTCCTAAAAGGGGTATGCTGCTCTGCATTGAAAACAATGTATCATCTACATCAAGTTTCTCAGTCCTATGCCTCTTTGATCTTTGATGTTATATTTGCATTGGAGAAATAACACGGTGAACCAGGGAGAAAGGGCAAATACCCTATGCTTCTTATCGGGTGCTCAGACCCAACATCCACTGGCCGTCCTACTCATCCACAGACAGTCCTATTTATCCAGAGACAGTGGGGTATGAGTTGTTTTCAGCTTTTTAGGCCACCCCCTTTTAAGTAGGGACCAATTGCTCATCCCGGAGCGTGCCACAAGTATGGGTAATGGATATTGGGTGCAAGTAAGTATCGAGTACAACATTCAATCCCAGAAAAAAAGAAATGGCAATAACAAGGACAATCATGTAAAGATTATACAAAATAGAAAACAAATATCTCTTCATGATTTTTTGAAACTTGAGGATTTGCTAGTGTGGTTCAATGACCAAAACTTTTAGGTACCAGAACGGGTTCAACTGAGAACGAATACCCAAAACAGAAATTTTAGACCAAACGACAGCAGCAATAAAACATAATGTTTTAACACTGGCAATATGACATTGAATGCCGGAAACCTAAATCAGCCACTTTTACAATATTGTAAAGGAAGAATAAACAAAAACAGACCCTGGCAAGATAGCTGACATATAGCTAACCACCAACCATCACACCTATCGGGGTTCAACAAGTCCCAAAACAAAATTCCAGATAATCAAACAGAGGTTTTGAGTTCTTCATGACACTGACTTTGCAAGAACATCATCTATAATACAAATATCAGTCAGTATTTGCAGCCAAATGCAGTTATAGCGATTGATATGAATTTTTCGTACTTAGCGAAGTTCATACAGAATACACAATCCTCTGGAAAATTGAGATCTAACAATACTACAAACATTCACGAATAAATACAGAGGAAGAAGATTTTAGGAGAGAAGATACATTTGAGAAGACAGCAGGCACACCTCACTAACACCCACTGTCACCTACGACCCGACCATGCTTTCTCTTCTCATATGGAATTGCATATCTACAAAACATGTCATTCCATAAGAAACCAGGTAAGAGGGAATCGTGTCAAATAAACTTGCTATATACAAGCAAACAGTAACTCAAACAGGAGCAATGAACCAACCAAGTATTAGATAGCTGAACAAACAAGCACTAAATAAATTGAGAATAAACATGAAGATGCAGATAAGAATAAACGAATACATATACAGACGGAAAGCCCACTGACAAGTCAGTTTGATATTTATCTTAATGCCATTATATTCTTAACTCTTAAGTGTAACTGTTCAGTTAAAGATTTCAAACTAGGGAGCCAAACCTAGCACTTAGTTTCATTGAATAACAAAGCTAAGAGTCCCTAGGCCTCGTCAGGTCTTCAAACTATAGCTATAGCTAAGTAGATCCTATACATTTTAGGTCCAACATCCCCAGCCTAGAAGGTCAAACCATATATGAATTCAGCACGGCCAAATCATCCAATAGTCTTCTAGGACTTGCCCAAATGAGCCTAGGATCCCCTAAACATACTTTTGTCTCGAAGACTAACCTAATCAAAATATCAAAACGATGCAAATATAGAAAAATCCAAGAGAACCACAAACATATTAAGTTGCTTTCAAGTTCACCCATTCAATTTATTCTTTTCTCATATCATAAAAAGGGATATGTATCCATTCTTGTGATTTTAAGTAAACTCTGACTGATCTGATACTGTAAGACTAAGGGTGACTAACTAACCCGCATGATTCTTGAGGCCATGAGTCCCACTATCCAACTGATTTGTTCGTGTAAATTCGCACACAGAGGCCTTCCGGAAAAGGGATTCAAAAGGACATACCATAGCAGCTTCATAATGTGTTCACCCAAAATCATATGATCACTCCACATGCACCCTCAATAAAAAAATAAAATTATTTTTTATTCTTCTATTCCAAACTAATTTTATTATTCTAAAACATTTTTTAAAATAAAATATTATTTGTTAAGAAATGGTGTTTCAAACAAAGAAACGCTGAATCAAAAAATAATACGTGTCCAAAAAACGGACATGCCATTAGATTCTTCATAGAAGTCTCATATGCATTTATATAAGTGTTAGATTTTTCATAGAAGTTTCATATGCCTTTCTAGAAGTGTCGACATGCATGTCTATGTCCACCAAGTGTCAGCACGTGGTCAGACCCTCAGACACACGTGTGCATGTTTCATGGCATGACCTCAAAGCCAGAAGTCATAGGATCCACATCATAGAAAAAAAAAAAAACATCGACTGTGGTCATGATTTGTAAGGAAAAAAGAAGCCACAAAAAATAATATCAAGTAAATCTCAAAGAAGAAAACATAGGCCACCAATCAAATCAACTGCCTAAGAAGATATAATTAAATGAAAGCAAACAATAAAAATGAAGAGCTAGGCTTCAGATATGAGTGTGTACCTCTGAGTTGCAGTGACATGGCTCCCAACAACTCCACAACTCCCTCTGTAATATCTGTTAAACGTAGCACCAGCATTTGCCATATTAAAAACCCCTTATCTCCCACTCAATCCCAAAGCGCCAAACACCCAATTTTTACCAAGACACTGAGGCTAAAATTTCCCAGCATCCGGCAATAACAGCGGCATTGAGAGCCTAAAGATCATCACTCACCACCTCCTCGCTGAACCCCTTGCTATGCACTCTACTCCCTGCAAATATTACATATATGCTCACACACAACCCCACCACCTTATCCACTATCTCACACTCCCAATGTCTGCCACTTTGGAATAAAGGGCAGCACTGAGCTGGTCTTGTGTATAAATACGGCTCGTCATTTTTACCGTAGCTTGTTGTATCATCAAATCCTTCACAACTGAAACACTCGCATAATGCACTTCTAAATCGAGATCCTTCAAGGCCACCATGAATCTAGCAGCTGGGTGATTCTGCTTATTCGATTGTATCCTTATCATTGCTTCCCACCCCAATATCTTGACCTCAATTTCAAGACCTGGGTATTTGCCAGAATTAGCAGAGGAGTGTGTGGAGTGAGCCTTGAGATCAGAATCGCCACTTAGCGCTTGGCTCTTTAGAGACCCATTAAACAATTGGGACTCTTTCTTCTTTAAAGCTTCAACTTGGGTTTGAAGCTCATCATTCTCTGATTCCAAGCCTTGCAACTTTCCCCTCAGTTCGTTGATATAAGCAATGGCATCACCAAGCAATGAAGCTTTATCCATCTTCGAAACATTGGGCACCACTGCCCTCAATGCATAGAACCTCTGGTTCAGTTTCTCTCTCCTTTGGCGCTCAGCCTCCACATGGTTAAGAGGTTCCTCTCTCCCATTCGCAGGCCTCCGCCCCCGCTTCCTAGGCCGCCTCTCGGCAGCAGTGTCCACAATACGGCTACTCTCTACCTCCCTCACAGAGGCCTCAAGGTCTGAATGGTCAGAATCAGCCCCCGACTTCAGCTCTGATTGCAAAACTACCCCCGATGAGAATGACAATATCCCCTCGTCCACACCACCATTTTGCCTTGTAGGCCCCATAGTGGGACCCAACCGACCCCCCCTCTTCTCATCAACCCGACCCATTAAGCCTGATGAGGACCCACCCCTGCTCATACTATTACCACCACCATTGCCCCCACCAAAGCTTAGAATTTCACCGGATTCAGGTTTACATGGCTGTAAATTACCTACCTTTCCATCCCTATGTGAGTCCTCATACGTGTTGAGGGCCCCACGTTGGTTATTCGTGGCAAGCCCCTCGAACCCAAAGTCCGAGAAATTAAGCGAAAAGGCAGTTTGGGTCACAGTTGAATTGCTCGTGTTCTCAACAACAGGGGGGGGAGGAGGAGGAGGGGGCACTGGCTTCGTAACTGGAGGAGTCTGTGTGGTAGTCTTTGCAGGCTCAGGGGGTTCAGGCGCTGGATCAGTGAGCCAAAGCGAGGGATCATCATGTTGGGCATGTGGATCCGGCCATGTAAACAAAGCCTGTGCCCCACGCACAAGCTCCGGGTTATGGGGCACTGCCTCAGTAGACCCCAACTCGACGACCCCACTAGAAGTGGGTATACAAACCAGGCTTTGGAGCCCAAATGCTACGGCTTGGCGAGCCCGCTCACAGGGGCAGGTGGCAAGGCGCCCTCCGCCAGCAAGCCAGACTGGAGCCCCCGAGAAGAAAGAGTGGGACGGGAGGGCAGTGGGTCCTGCAAAAGACTGCATCATTGAAACGAGATAGAACCATTCGGTATCGGTGACTTCCTCATCGACTGATTCATCATTTGTGGCCGAAGAGGTCTGAGATATTAGAGAGTGGAGTTGCCGTAAAACTAGCTTTCTATTGATTTGCTCAGCTGAAGGGGGAGCAGGGGGTCGAGCGAGCTTGAGGGGCTCACCTTTGTAATAGCCATCGGCCCAAGCTAAGGCCTGAGAGGGTAAGGATGGTTGCCAAAAAATAGCATAGGTCCATGGCTCATGGGCTGTTTCGATAAGGGATTGGAGCCTATGTTGAAGAGAGTCTTGAGATGGAGAGGTGGCATTTGCACCCTGTGTTGTTATACTGGAAGTGGTGGTATGCGTGGTGGTAGCATTTGACGGGCTGGGATCAAACCAAGTGGAAGGGGTTGAGGGGATGGGAAGGTCAGCAGCTGCCATGAAAGCTTCAAGCATGGCATTGTTATCATCTGACCAGAGGCCAGCTGGTTGTGGGGGTGCCATTACAAGATAAATTCTGGTTAAGAGTGGTCAACAAGGTGGGTTTCAGGGGTTTTGGAGGGAATTCAGTGCAATTCCTACATTAGAGAACATAAATGAGGGTTGTTTCCGATGCGGTTCTGGAGGAAATTGATGTTGAAGGTGTGTGAGAAGCTGAAAAGGTTTGTGAGGCGGGCAGGATGAATGCTTTTCACTTTTCAGGCTGGCCTTTAGGAAGGTGATTTTATGGGTAGTTGGTGTATGTGGTTCTCAGGGAGGTTTTCAGGGAAATTGATGTAGATCGCTAAATTAGAAGCTGAGAAGGACAGGTGGGAAATTAGAGTTGGCGGTTTTCTGAATACTTCTCAGGGAATTGGCTGAAACTTCAATATGGCAAACTGAGTCTGAATTGGTGGTTCTCATGATGGTTTTCTCTGGAGAAGTGGCCAAAACTGCTCCATCAGAAGCTGAGTGGTTTTGGGGGTTAGATGGGTTGGGTAGCTTTCACCTTTTAGTGGTTTTACACGCGGCTTCTGCGAATCTGGATGTTAATTTTATGAAGAGTTTATCAGATTTGGGTTAAAGTCTTCAAAGAAACCAGTAGTTTGCAGAGTAGTTTAAGAAAAGGACGAAAAATTGCAGAGTAGTTTAAGAAAATTCAATCAGACGGGGTTTCTTTGCCAAAGGCTAAAGATATTTATAAAACAAGGAGGTCTTTGTAGGTGGTTTTCCGTCAATTTACAGAATTCAATGTGGACAATTCAACATAGGGTACTGAAAGCCACTAACATAGAAGGGAGTTGTTCTTGGTGATTTTCCACTTCGTTATAACCAACAACCAAACGAAAAGCGGTTTTCCGTCAATTTCGACGGCAATTAGCAGAAATTTGCGTAAAAAATTGCAAGAAGATCAAACATAAAGATCCCCAAAAACAACCGACAAACCCTCTCCAGGGATCCAGAAAAAAACCATCAAAGCATACGGAAAAAGCCCAATAGTTGTTTACCTTCAGTCTCAGAGCCCAAAACCTGATTGGTCCATACTTGGCACCAAAAGAAAGTGGTTTTCCGTTTGTTCAGGACTTCACAGCTTCCGCGGTTAGTAGGAGTAAACCACCATCGCAGCCGAATAACGCGGTTAAAGATTGCCGGAAACCACTTTGACGGTCGGAAAAACGAAAATTGAGAGAAAGTGCGTGCGTAAAGAGATAGATCTGAGGCTCTGTGCGTTGGATTTTGATGGGGTCGGTGGATTTGGATGAATTTGAATTTCGATTGGGAAAGTTTTGAGTTTCATTTGGTTGTCATCTTGGAATGGAGCCCGACGGCTTTCTCGAAGTCCAGCCGATTTAACCAAGGAGTGTCTTATAAATGCCTGAGATTCTCACAGTAATTTCAATGCCACACTCTTCTACTCACCGTAAACAAAACATTCTTCTTTCTCTCAAATCTCAGTATCAATGCAAAATTTCCCAGTGACTTCCTGCACATATTCATGTTACAGTAGTAAAAAATATAACCATTTTTTTTTTTTTTTGCATTTCACTTATTTCCGCGCATTTGAGTCAAACAAAAACTAGATTTCATCATCTAAAAGTAGTGCATTTGTAAGATGCTAGGAGGAACTATTTATTTTAAGAAATTATATATTTTGAGAGTATTTATTTTTGGTATAAAGACGTTATAGTCACTTTTCACGGTTGGATGCAAAATCTAAATAAATGAAAAAGGAAAAAGTTTATATAGAGCTGCCGAGGCTCTAAACAATCAAATTGAAATCCACTTAAAATTTTTCAGTAAAAGAAGTTGTTTTGATACCCAAATATCTTCAAATTGATCATCTCAACATCAAGATGCATGGACATGAGAAGAAAAAAAAATGCATTTAAAGTTTTAGAAATAGTGCAACTTGTACCGCAATTTTTTACTGTCAATTTTTAAGATTTTCAAGTTTTCATAGATCTGCTCGATCTACACTCTTTTTTAATATTTAAATTTTATAATTAAAAATAAAATATTTTTTAAGGCTATCATAAAGAATTCCAGTATTGAAATAACATTTCTTGATACCAGCGTTTAAAAAATCGCCGAGTCGAACCGGACGGTTCGACTCGGAATTCATGAAAATGGTACCGGATCGGTTCAAAAACTGGGAATCGTCCGGTTCTAGAGAGAACCGGACGATTCCGCACAGTGACTCGCCGATTCT